AAATCCAAAGGAAAATAAAATCTTTGAGGTGGATAGCTGGTGTGTACTTGCTCCTTGTTAAAATAGTGTCTCTAAGTAATAATATGAATAGTACTCCATGGTCTTTACCATACACGGAGTCAGCAGGAGATCTTTTGAATTTCAGATTCTGATCAATGTGCTTAGGGTAGGCCTCAAATTCTGCATTTCTTCAGGCTCCTGTGTGGTACTTTTCTATAATGCGATGTCAATACTGTGGTTCTAGACCACTGTATAACAAACGGAGCAGCCATAGCTGCTTATTACTGATGAGGCCCTCTTGCTGGTTATTTTTCTCTGTGGTGCCTGCCCTCGACTTAAAAAAAAAATGAGAGAGAGAGAGACAGAGAGAGAGAGAGAGAGAGAGAGAGAGAGAAAGATTATAATCCTAATTCACTCCTGCATAAAAACCCACCTTCTTCCTGTTTCCTGTGATAATCTTTTCAGTCAACAGACAGGCACATGATACAGGCTGAAGAAAGCAAACATGGTAGCTATTAAATGCATTTCCTTCCATGGGAATTTTTATATTCATTTGGAAGGAGTGAAAATACTCATTTACCTTGGGGAAAAGTCCAGCCAATGAGCAGGCTGCAGCTACATCCCCCAGGCCAGAACAAGGGCTGAGATCAGAAAGCAGAAAAAAGCCCCCATGCTATGCACATTTGGCTCACCCCTCAAACTTTATTTCTTCCCTTCTTCCTTCCCTTTCAGCTTCCTTTACGAGGTGCAATGGCTGCATACCCAAATCAACAATTAAATTCCCCCTTTGTTTGTGTGGCAGATGACAAATGCATGGAGGACATCTTGTGTTGCCTAGGCAGGCAGGGCACTTACTTTGATTGATGCTCGGTTGTGGAAAAAAATGAGCTGGGAAGGAATTACAATGGAGGGCCTGAAGACTGGAAGGGGATATACTAATTAGTCCTGCATTAAGCAGTCTGCTTGCATTTGGCGATGAGACGCCTTCAGGAGGGAAGTGTAGGGGTTATTGATGCAAAGCAGCATGCAATGCTTTATGCCAGGTAGCTGTATATTAGTTGCGTTAAGAAGTATAAAAGTTGTAATTAAATAAACTGAAATAAACACTTAAGCTACTGTATTTTTTAAACACCCACCCCCCCCCAAGGATATTGGATAGGGCACAGGTTTTTATGTTCACTTGGTCTCCTAGACAATCTGGAAGTCTTTCTCTCTCTCTAGAATAATCCTTACAGAATTCTCTCATCCGGGTAAGATGTTAGGAAGGGAAAGTGCCACCACATCTATACTCCATCACTCCCTTTTTTTTTTTGAAATCTAACAGCTGCAAAGCCTTAAGCCTTGCTGGTGGAGGAAAGAAATGTCACAAGGAGGAAGGAAGTTTCCCCTCAGAGCACTCTTTAAGGTTTCAGAGTGTTGTTGCTGATCGGACCCAGGAAGAACCCTGGGGATGTGTCAAGACAAATTCAGCTCCTACTACAGACAAAAGGCTGGATTAATTGGGAATAAAGAGAAATGCAAAGCATGTATCTGTGTTTGGCTCCACATTCTATTTTTCGGGTTACGGGCAGAGGAAGAGTGGCGGATAGTTGTATTGTAAGCTGTGTCCAGAGTTAAGGCAACACAGACGCCCTGGGTAACTGTAATGTGTAGCTGTAGGAGACAGGACCAGTCACCTTCAAGTTACCAAGAGGACCGAAGGAAGGTGTGAGGGCGAGGTGTCCAAATAATCACTAATGTGAGTGGTTTAAACTTCAAAACTCTAAATGCTGACTCGATCAATTTGGCCTGAAGAATCAATGACATTAGGCTTAAAGAAAAGAAATCACAGCGGTCTTTGCTCTCAGCCTGAAAGAAAGGACCCTGAAACTCCTTTGGTTTTAGGGTCCTAGTTAGAGAGTCCAGCATGATAGCATCCACAACGTGATTCTTAGTGACTGTTTATGTAGAATTCCTTTATGTAGACCTTGGAAGTTGGCCCACTGGGGACACAGGTTCTCTCAAATTCTTGGTTTGGTTGATCAGAGTTGTCAAATCCAAGTGCAGCTAAGATTCCCCTTTATTTTTCCTATGCTAGAGACAAGTTCATGTATTGATTTACAGATGCCTGTGCTATGAAAAAAGTACCAGTGAAAAAGATAGTTTTTTAAGTTACTAAACACTTGTGAATGTTTTTTCTTTAAGTTTTGTCCATAAACTGGAGTAAGACATACATCAAAATAGCAGAAGTATGATCAGATGCCTAAACCTGTCTTTCATGGGCAGAACCAGGAATTGTGCCAATAGCTCCAGGAAGAAAAGCTAAATAGTTAATGTGGTTTATTTTTTAACCATCTCTTTGTTTTAGAATTCTATCTTATTCTTGAACTGATGCTATGTCACCATGACCTTATCCTGCCAAGAAGGCAGAGTTGAGGCATCCTTCAATAATAGCCTAGGGCTTAGGACAGGCACGATGCTGTGCTGGCGTTTTGCCTTTTCTTCCAGTGTTTACACAAGCAAGTCTTATTACATGCTCTGTCATTTTGTTACTGGGCTGGCTTTGGCTTGAGAATTAGGTAAACATCAGACATTCCATCACACAGTTTTAGACTCAATCTTACTTTATAATGATGTTAATGTTTATTGTACAAAGCGAGATGCATTTGTATATTTTAGCATTTTATTTCAGTCACAGAATGCAAAACTTGACATTGGAATCAGTTTGATTTTTTGTGTGTGTGATTGAAGATATTAAGCACTACAAGAATGTTGAAATTTCAATCTGATTAGGATCAAAATTCTTCAGGATCAAAACACTCCTTTTCCTCCCCCTACAGTTTTACTAATTGTGTGCTACTTGACATTGTGGAGTTATTCCACAGCGTGATAGCTAAATATGTGAAGTGTATTTTACTGTGCAGAATTATCAGCTCATTTTATTTGTTTTTCATGTATTTAAGGTTATTAAAAGAACTCAAAATTAAAAGTCACGTGTGAGGTGAAAGCGTGAACTCCATCATTGTTAGTAGGCTAAATCATGAAGCAATAGCTAGTATGTCAATATCAAGTAGTGAAAAAAAATCACAGAATTTGAAAACACACATTCCCTGTTTATTAGTTGGCAAGATACCAGAAAAATTAGGAGAAATGCACAATGAATGGTGGAGTCATTTATTTTCAGGGCTCTCAATTTACTCTGGCTGCTGAAAATGAGATAAAAGTAGATCGGAAAGCATAACGTCAAACATATTTGTTGGAGACCTTTGCTGTACAGGAAGAAAGGAACTGCCCTAGTTCACTGTTCTTGTGTTTGAATTGCGTTTCTTCAAACTGTAAATCACATCTCAGAGAGAGAGCATGGCGTTTTCCAAATAATAACTGAAGACAACAGAATTCTTTTCTGTCAGCATCAGGTTTCTGAATTTAGACCTCCATTAAGATTCCGAAGTCAGAAAGCACCTGTGTCCCCCCACCTGTGGCCTATTACAGTGTCCTAAAAACAACACATTCACTTTTAAAGCCAGGATCTTGGGCTTGTATTGCGCTAAAATTATGTTCATGGCTTCCTTTAAGGGTTCTGAGTTTTCTCCATTTTCTCTGAATTCCCAGCAACAAAGAACCTGATGTTTCTTTTCAGCAAGCAGCATCATTTTCTCCCCCAATTAATTGAAGAGCCATCTGCTTCTGTGATACACGACACCCATTCATTTTTAGCAACAAGTGTGTTCTCTCAGTCCCTGATGTGCAATATCAAGGCATGCACCAGTGTTGGAGTAGAATGTGCTGGAGAGCTGCTCCGCAAGCGGGCTCTGCCCCAAAACACAGTGCGTATATAGGATTTGACATGGGATTTGGTTCCCTGTCAGTGCTGCTGATGCAGTAAATACAGTACGAGATGGGCAACTTGGGAGACTGGCTAGCTCCCTGTCTCCGTTATGCATTTGAAGATCTGAGTTCAAAATGAGGGAAGCACTCCAAAGGATAGGAAAAATTTAAAATAGCTCTCTTCAACCATAGAAGCAAGGGCTACATACAGACTATTTGGCTGGTGATTACTACATAAAAGCCTCAGTGTTAGACTGTACTATTTTGTGTGTGGCACCTCGCATGTACTTAAAATCAGTGGAAACCTGGGTTTAGAACATTCTAGGAATGTAGCTGGTGGAGCTCTGCCCTTGTGGGAAAAAGCTGTTGGATGGTTATAGAAAGGAGCACTTGTCAGAAGACAGCACCTCCTTCTCAAGAGGCCCATCAGGCGAGTGTTCCTGGCAGATCCCTTCTAGGTACAAACAGCCCAGGGGACTTTGAAGGAAAAGTACAGGAAGAGGATGGTATGGGCGTGCTGCCTGCACCCACTGGGATGCTACTGGTCCTGCTTGCCTACAGGTCACAGAGGCAGGTCCCTTGGAGTTCAGCCAAAGGGTCAGGAGTTGCGAGCTAGGCTCAGAGGAGAGATTTGTTTCTTCATCTAAGGAGCTGGAGGCTAGAGGTACTTTCTCTTCTGAATACACTGTCTGCCCAGAAATATCCTGAAAAGAGCTGCTGTGTTCACACTATGTGCTCTGCTCCGAACCCTGGGCTTCCCTCCTCACCCTCGTTTTGCGGCTAGTCAGGTAGACATTTTTATGAGGCTCTAGCCTGTGTGAACTTTCTTTTCCTACATGTACTTTGAGACTACAAATTTCAAAGTGGAAGCTGCTCTCTAGAAAATGAAAGGGTCAAGGAAGCACTTATGATAGAGGTTCCCTCACCACTTCATGGGAGAGAGAGCATGAGACACCATGAAATTCTGGGTGAGTGCCTAAAGATCCAGCAATTTCTCTGGGCTCGAGGTCCAACTTTCAATCTAATGTCAACACAAGTTGAAATGATTTATGTTTCACTTTTTCTCACTGCATGCTGACAATCGTCTTGCATGCATACAGGAGAGATGGAGGGAAAAATCAGCACTGTAGCCAAGCAAGGGTCAGGGAGAGATAACACCAGCAGGAGTTACTTCCCAACACGGGGGTACTTACAGTCCAGGTGACTATGCCTGATGCCCTCTACGTCTTCAGCGTGGATGAAGTGGTAGCATCTTTTCCCTACGATGTCTACAGGGGTCAAATCCATGTAATCACTAATTCTACAAAGAGAAGAACACAGGCTGGAACTTAGGAGGAAAATGGAGAGACTGTCACACTTTGATACTGATCTACTGACACATTTTCATCATGCTAGGTACCCAGAAGGTTGTGGCACAGGGTTTTTCAAAACAAGAAAGTGTGCTAGATCAAGCAGTTGTGTTTAAATAATTAGGTAGGTTTTTCTTTTTTGGCATTAGAATGCACATTTAGACCACATAATTCCTGTGAAATTACTGAGAATCAGTACCAGTGCAAGATCCTCATTACAGGCCAAGATAATTCAAGGTTACATAATAAAATAAAAACATGTTATGTTTATACCAAATGATTAGAGACACCTTTCATTTAAACAGATTGGCCTTCTATTGGGTATTTCCATGAAAAAGGGTTTCAACTGCTTCTTGGCATAAAGTCCAAATTGGCATTTCAAGGGATATAATTTAAATGCTGAGACATACAGATGCCTGGGGGTATTATCTTTTTTAGTCTTAGTCATTTGGGAGCTCAGCTTTCACTCCTGGCTCTTTTAACTGGTACTTTGTGGTGGATTCCTCACAGAAACTTTTAAACCATTGCAGCAGCTCTTCCAGGCTGGTGCTTCCCAGTGCATGTGTGGGAGCCCCTGTCACGGACTGTCCAGACATCAGTGTCCTCAGGCAGAGCACAGAAAAATAGAACCCAAATGGGACAACACGATGGGGGAATCTGCCTGGTTTACGCAAACATGTCAAAATGCTTATTACCTTCTGTATCACCAAGTACAGATTCATTTTGGTCAGTCCAAAGCAAGATTTTTGTGTAATTTATTTTCTTTACTGTCCCTGTGGCTTTTTTCTAGATGATTTATGGCATATGGTCTATTCAAATATGAAGTGAATCTTTGGAAGTGATATGTTTAAGAAACAGCTGGGATTATGGTTGGGAAGTTACCGCTACACCCACAAGGCAACTGGCTAAAATTGTCCTTCAGACAAAGGACTTATATCTAGAACATACAAAGAATCTAAAAAAAATCACCCCCCACTTAAAGACCCAATACACTCACAACGCATTGAAATAAGAAAGAAAAACAAAACCAAGATACTATGGAATATTACTAATTGTACTACTCAGCGAGTAACTTCCTCAATGACTAGTAATTTCAATGATATTTTTGGCCAAATTGGAATTCTTAGAGGAATAAGAGTAGTTGAGGAGATGAAAAGGAGTGTTTTTCTTAAGAATTCCATGGTTTGTGGTACAAAACAGATTAGCTGGTGTTTTCCTAAAACCATTATCCTATTTTCCAAGTGCAGTTTATACCCCCTTCCTGCAAAAGTGGGAACGAGGATGTCATTAAAAGACCCTCCTTGGTGTTTCTGAAATTTGCCAGCTGCAATGAAAGCATTAGATGTCAGCTTTGCCCCAGGCCGTCCTCAGGAATGCGCAGAACGGTCTGCAGCTCAAGGAGCAAGCTTCAGTTTCTAGTTAACACTTCCCTAATTAAATAATAAACCCCAGGAAAAAGCCACTCCACTCTTTAGGGAAGGCATTTCTTTCGTTTATTCTTTATTTGAATTAAATCATTCAAAATGATTGAAGCCTTTTCTGTGTACTAGAACCTGTTACTGTGGTGAATGTAGACCAGCTCAGCCATCAAGGATTTCTTAAAAAAATATGCAGCAGACAGCAAAGCAGAATTCTGAAAAATTTGTCTTTTACTCTGATCCTCAGTTTCCTCCTCTGGAAAGCAACCTCAGAGGTTGGTGAGGGGATTGATGAATGAAATGAAATTAACATAACATTGCGGTGGCACAGGTATGCTTTTTCTGTAGATCAAATATGCAATTACCTTTAATACAGGTCTTTTTCATAATTACTGTCATCTTCAGTTGGGAAGTAATGCTATATTGTATTGGCTAATAGAGGTTATGGAAAGCTTTTTTTTTTAATGTGAAGGGAAAAAACCTAAAAGTGGGTCACAGAAAATGATCTCAATTAGTAAATTGGTACCATGAGGCACTCAGGTCCATGGAGCTTGTCAAAAGAATTAATCAACTGATAACAGGACTGAAAATGAGGTGATGTTTTGGGATAGGACAAACATTAGAAGTTTGATAAATAAGCCAAAGCGCCATTTTTTGGGGAGGAGATGATGGTGAATCTGAACGCAGTAAGCTATGTTCATCCTCTGGCTTTGTCTCTACCTCCTGTGGTTGGGTCTCCTCCTACAGTATTCTAAATGTTTAATCAGAAATTAAGCAGCTTTGTGGGTGGCAATCACATCCTTTCATATGCATGTGTATGAAAAGTCCCTCTCAGAGGTTATTCTGACTGGTCCCTAGCCGAACAGTCTGACCTTGGAAGAAAAATAAGACCAGGCCGTCCCCCACAGGATGTATTTCAGAGCAAGGGCGTTTATGTCTGGCAGCCTTGAGTTTAAGTCTTGGGCAAGGGCAAGAAATCCTTTCCCTCTAAGCCAACAGTGCCCATAAATGATGAAGATAGCAGCAATAGGTTCCTTACAGAACTGTCCTAAAGCTTAAATGAGGTGGTGCACATGATTTGCATATGGCTGAGCATGTAGTATATATTTATTAAATGTCAGTTCTTTTTATTATTTCTCACCAATACCAGGTAATCATTCTGGCTAACTTGTCTTTCTCAATATTTTATGGCCATTCCAGAATATTTTAGATAAACCCAAGTACATATTCGTGATGATAAAAATTTTAACAAATGCTAGCAAAACTTGAAGAATATATTGAGAATTATCTATGAAATAATAGTGACAACTCATGAAATTTTCTACCTTTTTGAACAGTCACAGGTCAGGTGGATATCTTTTTCCACTGGTGATATCTGTATGGGACCTTGGCTGGGGGTGGTAGGCAGTTTTTAATTTGACCTTTACCTCTTTGTCACTTCTTGGTGGACTGAATGCAGGAGCTGTCCGGCTTCCTCTTGGCTGGCCTCTGGAGAGATCAATTACCCTAGCCACTTGTCCATTCCGCTCTGTCATTTCCCCTCAGAAGGCACAAAGGCGCCCACGGGGCTGGCTGAACACATATTGTCTTCAAGCCTGACAATAATCTGTGCCGTAAAAGCTTCCTCCCAAAACAGACTCAGTAATTCTCCCTGTGGCACTAGGGATAGTAGCACCAGGCTGCTGAACGACAGCTGATATGTGGGCCTCTTTCCCTCACCCCCCATACCCTGTGATTCTCTCTTCAAATCAAATCAGTCTGATGAGAGGCTGGTGACTTGTAGGTGAGAGGTCTCAAAGGGCACTGTCCCAGTTCTTTGTCCCTTGCTTTGTGTTTAATGGAAAAAGTGAACTTTTTAAACTGGAGGCTAAAATGTCCTTTTATAAAAGCTCAGATTTAAGGAAAAACTGCCAACTCATTTCTATGATGAGTCATCGTTCTTAATTTATAAAAGTAAAATCCTCAGGGTGATACAGTTTTATTCAATAGTGTTGCAAATTTCTTTTTTGTCTTTTTTCCTCTGAGGGCCTCAAATTCTCATTCATTCTGTCTTTGCTTAATGTCTGCGTGAATACGGACTATTGTGATGCCAGCCCTTGAAATGAATCGGAAGTAGGTTGCGCAGAGGCATCAGAATTTTGCTAATAATGTCTCAGTTCTGCTCTTTCCTTGGGTTCTCAGCCAAAATGTGCTTTCTTTACAGAATACGATGTCTGGGTATCCCAATCCACGTAATTGTTGTCTCTAATGTAAATCAGGGCAGCAATGTAAATTTTAAATAAAAAAGATGTTTGGTGTCAGTCCAAGCAGCCATTAAAAATGAGATCAGGATTTATAATGAGCCTCACTGGAGAAGTAAAATCCTTCAGACTGTCGGAAACACAAACCTTCCCCAAAGTGCAGTGTGCGATAGGGCAAATGAAAACAAAAACAAGTACCTATTTTCACAGTATATGATATTGAGGTCCATATTTACTCGAGTGACGAACATATGGCAGTCAATTCTGACTTCATTGATTGTAGGAGGAGGCAAGGCATGGGCCACTACCACGAGGCCCATAATTTGGCTGGGGACGGTCCTCCCGTGCGATAGCGATACTCTCAGGCGTAGCCGGCCTGTTATGTGAATCACCTGGAAAAGAACATTAAGTACAGGACACCAGTCAAATTTACATCCAAGATGTAACCTTTATTTCTTCTGAGAAATGCAAAATCACATCTGGATCAACCAACACTAGCTTATATCTTTTACAGTCCTAAGGGCTGCCAATGTGTCCTCAATGTCCTCATGGCAAGAGACAAAAGAGAAATAATAACATACTCTGAAAACTTCTCAAGGTGGCATCACTGTAGCGCTGTTGCTTTTTCTTCCTAGGACTTTTCCCCTCCCCTCGCTTTTGGGGAAGTTCTGTACTCAAATAAAATGACCAAAAATTTGAGCCTGGAGCTGCAGAAGTAAACATTTGCGTTAGTAACTACCATTGCTAGACGATATTTCTTTCCAGTTTATATGGAGAAGGATTACATGGCCACGCCTTTCCAAAGTGTGGCTCAGAGCTTCATTCAGGGGTTGGTACTGCGAAAGGCCGAAGGAATAAGAGACTCTGGGGCTATGACATGCATGGGTTCTTTTGAGGACCGATCTCTCACCTTGGGCAGCACTGAGTTACGAGGAACACAGGGTTTATTGTAATATCTGTGGGGTCAGTGGTCACAGGACTTTGGCTTATGATTGATTCCTTGAGCTCCTATTACAATATGGTCAGGAAGACTTGTACCATTTTGGTGGCAGCTCTGAGGTACTTTCCCAGAAACTGGATGGAAAATGTTGGGCTATAATTTTTTGTTGTAGTTAACCAAAGTATACCTAATATATTTCAGGTCACCTAGAACCACCAAACCTTTGCATATAGGAGATCAATTTCCTGAAATGCTGTCTTGGGGGAAAACAAAATTATAAAAAGGGTGAAAAATATGAAGGATTTGTGTGGTTGTGCTTTGAGATGTGTGTGTGCAAAGGCACGGAGACGACTGTGTGTGCACATGTGTGGGTGAGTACGTGTGAATACTAGCTGTATTCTGAGCACCTTGCTACTGTGTGAAGGACCCTCCCAAACCAGGCCAGAGAGGTAATCACTGTGGTTTGCTGTATCATGGAGCTCAGTTTAGGAGCTGACTTTCCACATTTGCTTTGCTCTCCAAATGCGTCACTGAGGACCATGCCGTCTGCTGAAATCCTCCTTTCCCTCTGTGCCATAAGGAACCTAAATGAAAGGAGTTCTCTTGCCTCACCACCCAGAAACAATATGAACTTGTGTCTGCACTCCTTCCCAGGGGCTCCACTGGAAATTCCTTTTCCATTTTATTTTGCTTCCCCTAAGTTATTCTGCTTTCCAAAAGCAAGCCATACTACTGTCGGTCAGGAAGCAGGATCAAAGCTTACAGGGCTGCCCTTCGGAATTCTAGCTGTTCTAAATAACACCTCTTCCCTGTCACCCTTCTCATTTGCGCCCAGAGCTGTGGATCTGGAAACACCAATGACGAGGATTATTTAGGTTATTTCAGCAGTAGCTTTTGACCACCCACATTTGAAGTTGACTAAATTCATACTTAATGCACCTTTGCTTTAAGCTTTGGTCAGATGAGCTACTTTATGAATATTTGAAAATGTTCCTAGAGGCAAGGATGCTAAAACAGCATCACAGAAACACATTTTTTGCAAGACCTCATTAACTAATAAAGAAATAGCTAACAGAAACAGGATTAACTTCACAGGAGGGGTGTTACAGTCCCTGGTCCTCCTCCCAGCTAGGCTTACATAGCTGCTCATTTATCATGATCTGTCTTGTTTTATCAGGAAAACTCAGCTTCTTAGAAAAACACAGATCTATAAATGCTCAGGAAAACGCACACCCAGAAATGATATGCTAAATAAATCCCCATTTGGTATTCTCTTCCAGAACAAATTAAAAGGTGTATGGACTACAGAACATTTGAGGAAGGCAGACATAGCGGAGCTGGTGGCACATCAGGTTTCCCTGGTCTCCAGTTTTGCCTCAGGCCTTTGTGGTATCAAAAGAGGTCAAAGCAGGGTCCAGTAAAGGTCTAGATTTGTAGTGTTCTGATTCTGTTACCCCGGCAAGCCACTCAGCCTGTGTCTCAATTTCATTTCTATAAAGTGGAGGTAATAGTGGCTATTCTACAGTCAGGAGGTAGTGGAGTGAGCTCTTTAAAAAACAGTAAAGAATTTTATAATTCTTAAATAATATCTACTTGCCTTTAAGGTTATTAATTAATAAAATAAGGACCAGATTAGTGTTTGCCAAAGACCTAATAAGTGCCTCATTATTTTAAAAGATGATAGCACTTCATGTTTGGAAGAAAATGTGGGAGGCTGTATCTTAGCCCCCCTCTCATTTCTTAGGTGAGGAAGGAGGCTCTGGGAAGTTCATTCCTTGTACACAGTTACCTGCCTTGAAAATAAATGGCAAGCAGCCTGGGCTAGCTTCTAGGTCTCATTTGGGTGCCATTTCAATTTTGTTATCTCTGTATGCATTTTATGTGTATATTCATAGTGAGTGAAACTTTGGAATGTTAGAAGTGTATACCAGATGCCAATTTATTATCTTAGGTGAACTATGTTATGAACCTTTAAAAAGATTTCATTAATACTCAGAAGCTCAGGTTTTTTGAAAAGTCTTTGAGAAATAGCAAAATGAAAAAAGGGTTGAAAAATCACGAAAATCACCAACTGTCATAACTAAATGGCTGTCAAGAAATACCAAAGATTTGAAGACAACAATATGCAGTATAACAACCACTGGTGAATTCCTCCCATCTTGTTTAGTGAAGCTCTGTGTTGTTTCTGATTTTTTTTACTATTTTTATTTGCTTTAATTGTTTGTTCAATCTTGCATTCTTACATCTGGTAATCCAAGCAACTTTGCTGAAGATAAAAATATGTAATATAATAACCACTGTTAATTTCTACCATCTTGTTTTGGAATTCTGTATTGCTTTTGTCTTTGTTGTTATTTTGGTTTTTTTTCTCTTTTTATTTTTATTTATTTATTCATTTATTTTTTCTGGTACTGGGAACCGAACTCATGACTTTGTGCTTGCCAGGCAGGCACTGTGCCACTGAGCTAAATCCCCAGCCCCTTTTTCTCTTTTTAAAAAAAGAAATATCAAAGAATAATCAGAGGATGTGATAGTGGGGCTGAAGAAAAGAAAGCCAAATCTATAAGATCCCATAATTAAATTTTAGGTTTATCTAAGGTATGATTTCCAAATTCATTTCATAATGCCAACAGAACTTCTCCAATGTGACAGGTTATACTCAAATTTTAGAAACATGTTTGGCAGTATGTATCCAAACATATAAGTAGCTGAACTGTTCATTCTGTAGTTGCTTTTAAGAATTGAGCGAGAGAAAAAAGAGTATTTTCTATAGAACCTGGACACTTAATAGACAAGTAAGCATGTCACACAAAGATCTGAATGACTTGCTAAATTTCCAGGTTAGTATCAGAGATTAAAAATCTAGTACAAGGAGAGTTCAGTATAGTTAGCCTTCAGTGTCTATGAGGCCTGGGTTCCAGACTCCTCTGTATACCAAAATCAGTGGATGTTTTAGTCCCTTGTAAACTCATACAGTGCTTGTATGTAACCTACACACATCCTCCTATATACTTTAAATCATCTCTAGATTGTTTGTAATTTCTAATACAGTGTAAACTGTGTATAAATAGTTGTATTATTTAGGGCATAATGACAAGAAAGTCTGTACATAGTCAGTATAAACACAGTTTTTTTTCCTTAAAGATTTTACATCTATGGTTGAACCCTGGGGTGTGGAACTCACGAACACAAAGGGCCTGCTACACTCTGTAAAGATATTCTGTGTTTTCTTAGTAAAGTTAACAGAAGATATGTTCTTGGTTGTTCAGTTTCTAAAATATATTGTGTGCGACCTTGCTTGGTGCCAGGAAAATGACCAAGGTAGTGAATTGAATAAAACTTGTCTCTTCAAAGAGTCTAGAACACATAGTTTGCCCTACGGCAGGGCAAGGCATATATGATTCCTAGTCATAAGATCATGAGAGGGAGACGATACAATGCCTGATCAAGAAAGTGGTTCTTTTTTGGGGCGGGGGGGTGGTGGTCTTTTTGAGACAGAGTCTTGCTATGTAGCTGTTCTCAAAGGATCCTCCTGCCTTAGCCTCCTAAGCGCTTGGATTACAGGTGTGTGCCACCATGCCTGGCTAACAAAGTAGTTCTTAATCCTGGTTATGTGACAGTCACCCTGTGAAGCTCTGTCAACACCACATGGATTCCTAGACTCTATCCCCAGAGGTTCTAATTTGGTGGGATTGGGTTGGACTCCAGTATTTGTCTGTGTTACAAAGCTTCAGAGGTGATGCGAACTACTCAGTAATATCTGGCTGATGGGGTTGGGGTTACATTGGTATGTGATGGGAGATAGGGCATGGCAAAACTGGCTAGGGAAATGAGTGGGGCCTGGCAGTCACAAGATCCCGGAGCAACATGAGGACCCTATATGTAGAATTTTTGAGAGATGCAGATGGCATAAAAAAGAGTTGGAAAGCTGCTATCGCGTGAGTTTGCACGGTACTCTGCATTGTGTGAATGTGGCATATTCTTTCATTTATGCTTTTACTTTCTTCTCATTGGCCAAAATTTGCTCTGCGGAGCTGGTTTCTCCCATACTTAGTCATCCTGTACTTTTCAAATAAACTTTTGACACCATTTTTGGCTTGTCTTGTCCAAGTTTTTGAGGCAAGAGCCACCTGGAATACTTTTGATTGGTGAGCCATTTCTAAAGAAATTACCCTATAATTGTTAGCAGAACCAACCAGTAGAGCCAACCAGAACCAACCATGCCAACTTTGGCATGGCCAGCCAAAAAAAGAACATTTTGGTGTAGCCAGACACGAGAATAAGGTATTGCAGACCAAGGTGAGGGCCAAGTTGGGAAAAATTTTTGTTTCTCTCCCCACATTTTTTTTCTTCTCTCCTTTTCCTGACTCTCTCCTCTAGGCAGGAAGGGCAGGGACTGTTCTCAAGGTGCCCAGGGAACTGTTTGCTGCTTTTGTAGCCCTGGGGATGGGG